ACCATAACGTCGCTTTCGGACCCCGTAAAACAACTTTGTGAAGCAGCCTCGAACAAGCCCTTTCTTCCGCTTTCGGACCTCTAGAAACGCTTCTATGCCGCTGTCTGGGGCGTCTAGCCGTATTTGCGTGTCTAACATCGCTCAAAAAAGGTCGTGACGCAGCCTCGAACAAGCCCTTTCTTCCGCTTTCGGACCTCGATAGAAACGCTTCTATCCCGCTGTCTGGGGCGCCATCTCCGGGGCCGCTCCGTGTGCCCCCACAAAGCAAGACCATGCTCGAGCCCTCCACACCATGAGCACTCGTACCTTCTCTCACGCGCTCCCCTTGCAGTCGCAACGGGTCGGCGGATATACTATTATTATTATCATTATTACTATTACTATTATTACTATTACTATTATTGTATTATTTTATAATATATATTTGTTGAATGTGGACGCGGTAATTTGAAATATCGTAATTGTTCGAGAGATTTCGTTTATGGAATTTATAGAAAGAAATTGGAGAGGTTATTTAAGATTATTTTAGGAATATATTTAGGTTTTAATCGATTATATAGGAAACATTAAATTGGATTAAACGGTGGAGAATTGAAGAATATTTTGATTTTGAGAGATCGAGAGTAATTTTATTATTCGATTGTCGATGAAATTGTTTGGTTTGGAATGTAAAAAATTTGATTTTGTATGTTGTAAAATAGGAATTATTAAATCGTAGGAGATTTATTATGTTTTTTAAATATTTTACTTTGAATTGGAATATATTTTTGGATTTGAAATGATTGAAATAAAATATAATATTATGGGATATTATTATTTGAAAATTCGATATATTGTTGGGTATGGAATTATTTAGTTATATTTCGTATTTGATTGATAATGGGTTCGTATTGAATTATCGTTAATTTATGAAAGGTAGTTTGAATTACTTGAGTTTTTTTTGGTTTTATTTTATAATTAGGAGTTGGGATTGTGTATTTAGTTTGGTCTTGTTAGAATTGATTCTGTTCGTCGGGGGAGGCGGGGGGGGGATCCCTCCCTGGATTAAATCCTCCTTGCGTCGGTTCACGTCGTCATGGACTTTTTACTAGGGTTGTTTGTGATTGCCTGCTACCTTTCGTTCATCCCTTCCTCTCTCAGGTAATTTGGATTTGAAATATATTATTATAATAATATAATTATATGGATTTAAATCTTATTTATTACCGAAGGGTGGACTAAGCAATTACTATTAGAATACGATTGTTTTAAGCGGTAGATTCCGTGAAAACAAATCTATTGATTTTATGTGTAGCGTACTTCGTAATAATTATTATTTCTATTTTACCTTCTATATTGAAAATATCTTAAATTATACCCCAAAGGTTCTTCTTATTTTTTACTATCGTAGGGAGTTATCGGGCTCCCGTTGGACTACTTATTTGCGGTTCCCGTGGGTGCCTCTATTTGCGTTATTCCGTTTACGTTATATTTTTGAAGGTTGAGAATGGCAATAGGAATTGGTTCCGAAACATTAAGCTCTGGCTCGCTTGAGGTCACACATAATAATTTCATCCCTCTCTTCGATAATAAGATCTCTTCCTACAAGGAATGGCAAATAATAGTGCTACTGTATGGCAAGAAAATAGCCGTTTAAGAAAAGAACAAGGAGACGACGATCAATTTGTTGATATCCTTGTCTGGGCTAGCATGGCGCCAGATCGAATATAAAACCGAGAAGCTGGCCGAAAAAGAAGATGATTTTCTTCAGGTATTAGTAAAAATTAGATGCAACATTCAAATATGATGCTTGTATGGAAGCCCCGCGATCGATGGAACAATATTTCTTCATTGCAGGTCGGAGACCCGACTAAACTATCCTGAGCTACGTGAGTGAGTATAAAGAACGCCAACGAGAAATAGAAAAATACGGGATTAAGGTTTCCGATGCCATCTCCGGATGGCTGTTACTCCGGAGGTCAGGATTGAATGCCGAACAGCGCCAATTCGTGCTTTCTCAATGCGGAAGCCAAACAGAACTCTCCAAAGTGGAGGAATCCTTATAATTCCTATTTGGACAAGATTTCCGCACATCTATATTATCGGCAAGATGGAGCTCCAGGACCAGCCAATGGCCTCGCAACAATCGCTTCAACAAAACAGATGAAATTGCCTATGAAGCCACAGCTTGGGAGTTCATGGAAAATGAATATGGTGGTCCTCTTCTAGAGACCTATGATTATGGCCTTGAGGATGAGGAGATTGAGGAAGCCAACTACACTGGTAACATCCGATCCGGTGCTTGCGGAACTTGTGGAAGCTTGGTGCCCTGGCTGTCCCTATCATCTACCATTAGAAAGATCTTCACCTGGGATTGGCAATCGTGCTTCAGAAGCAACAATATACCAACCCAAGATGTATAAATATTTGGCAATTGCAATTTATCATTTTCTCCTGGATCAGGTGTATACTGCCGATGACTCTGGTAGTCATGAAGCACAAGAACAATCTCGTCGAGCTATTCTCAATCGGTTCTTGCCTAAAAACACCGCTGAAGCTTAACGAATAATGACTCGTTTTCATCGGAATCTGAATCCTCCACCCAAGGTTCTCATGCTTCGTGTTCTTCGAGAATATCAGGCAAATGAGAAATTGCTGGGGGGTTTGTGAAAACTTTGAGTATCTTATCTATCAATATCGTCAAGTTCCGCCACAAGTGCAATCTTCTTCAATGATCGGATTCAAGCGGACACTCTCTGGATCAAATTGGTTTTGGAAGAAAATCATGGATCAATTCCAGTGTTGGTGATGTCCGATTGCACGACTCGACTGCTTGCGGCCTGCCTATTTCCTGATGAAATAGTAGAGTCCTTCATTCAGTTTCTTAAACGAGGCTGGGTCCGTCATTTTGGCACAATGAATGTCCTCCAGGTCGATGAATATCGTGGTTAGAATAATGATAAGATGAACCTTTGGGCCTTAGAGCGCAACATCGAGATGTTAATCTATCCTGGATAAGCACATGAACGCCTGGCAATCCTGGAGCGACGACATAGAGTCGTTCGGAAGGCCATTGAGTTGTTTCTCATCGAAAGCCAGGACCATAGCCGAGAAGGAATCATCTCTGCCTTGAACTATGTCATCCCGGCAATCAATCATCTTCCCAACGTGTATGGATTCTCTCCGATG